AGTTAGTTTATCGAGGGAATATATCCCAAAATTATTATCTTTAAAATTAAATCACCATGGATGTCATGTCAAAAACATCTGATATTTGTCACCCAAAATACAAAGGAGGTAATCATGCACAAATGCCGACGTGGCTTCAACAATGTCCTTAGAACCTTTGAGTTTTCTTTCATGGAAAATAATGAGATAAGATTAGCGGTCAAAACTGCCATGGTGACATGACTTAAAAAACTACACGAAAATAACAACATTTCAGATGAACAGTTCCTCTTCGAAATACTTTTGTGGGGAAATTGTCTACCTTTGTAGTAAAAATATAACAATCTAGTTGTGAGTTTTGCTAAATACAAGTTAAGAACATATTATGATTACCATTTTATTACATTTTAACCCATAGATACTGGCTAGATTCTTTTGTAGTAGGATCAGTAGCTCAATAAATATTGAATTATTCTTTGAGCCTATGAGATCCTACTACAAAACGATCTGGCCAATATCTGTGTTTTAACCGACAATTCAATTGATAGCCCCGTGGATAGCAAACATGGTTTGAAAATGTTTAAAATCATTGCTATTCATACGTTCTTGCATACTAGTATTAACAAGACCAATGTAATATTGCATCCCTACATTGTCCACACGAATAAATGTGTTAAAAATTATATTAAGTGGATTAAAAAATGTTAAAAGGATATATAATTTAAAATGTTAGTGATGTATGATGATAAGCTTTACACATCTTACGAATAACTTATTAAAAAATATGTGAGATAATCCTACTAGCAGTGAAAACAATCTGAATTTTCAAAAAACTATCATGGTTTTGTAACTTTAACTTACAAGATATCAACAATTAATGGGTTTATGCGCAATTTTTTGGTTCTTACGAATAGTTTACTCTCATTTGGTTGTGGTTATAGCGAATTTACTTGCTTAGTGCGTTAGGAATATACAAAGAATATTGTTTTAATTAGCGAGGTATCAATACGATACCATTTTGCTGGGCTTTGTCTACATATTTCATCAGAGCTTCGAAAAATTGTCCACACTCATACCAGGGGGTGTATATATTACTGCTGAATCTTTTTGGTCATGTACCTTTAATAGATACAAAAATGTCATATTCTTTTTTAGAGGTATGAATACTTGAATGCTTTATTGTACCACCTGCTTTAGTTATGACACTGAAATATATTTGTCAGGGTTGTTTATTTAGGCTACAATGCCCTAGATGATACCCCCAATAGAGTCTGTCTACATTAGACTGTTTATCACTTTATCACTTTAACTATTGTCATTTTGCCCTGTGTTACTTACATGTGAAATAGAAAAATCATTAAGTGCATAAAGTTTGGAAACAGAATATGAGTTTATTATAACTTCACCCCTACTCCTCCATTCTCTGTCTGATAATAGCTTCCTTTATTAGGATGCTATTCAATGTAATATTAAATACAGACTTAACTAGATTCTTCATCCAGGTCAGACACAACCTCAGTATTGGAAAATGTCTAAATGTCTAGAAGGTGTCTGAGTTGATGGCCTGTAGGAGTCATGGTCATATCCCGTATGTCAGGTGAACCTCATATGCCATTTTAGTTGTCATCGTAAATCATGTTCAGGTAGTTTATGTGTCTTGTTCATGCATTCCTCTTTTGATTACATGTTTTTCTTTCACTTGAAATTACATGTTTTAAGCGAGGTTGGGCTGGAAGCACACAGGAAAAAATGATTTTTTCTTTTGCATCAGAATATTAAATATTTGCAACAAAATATTAAATATCTTAAAATAATGCTCAATAATCCACCGCATTTTATTTGTTTGACAGAATGTAAGGATTTTATCTGATAGAGATATCACAATAGAAAATTAATTATTTGCATAATTCATTTTCTATTATTTTTTTTATTGTCATGGTTACGCCTTTGTCACACCTCTATTTTCTCTATTTCACATAATTACTTTTGCTCTCACTCCATTCGCTGGTACAAAGAAAACTTCTCATTTATATGCATATACAGAATGGGTGTATTTGTTTAAACACCTGGTAGCTTTTGCTTTACAAGTGCTCAGATTTGCCACTCAAATTTGCCTTCAAATGAGAGTAATTTAGGACTAACCAAAATTGTTTTCTTGTTAGTTCACACGGTTAGCAGTAACTCCGTTCTCTGTCTGTTATCTACCATCATCATTCATCCAGCTGTCCATTTGTTCGTACATCTGACCAGTCTATAACACCGGTTGATAGATTTTATTCAAATTATTTACGCTTATGCCTTATGGGTGTATGACTGCTTGAGAAGGAATTATCAAGATGTCTGCTCAATTTAAAATGGTAGCCATTTTTTATGTCACCACCAAAAGTGGTGACATATTGTTATGGTCTCCGTTTTTTTATGTCACCACCAAAAGTGGTGACATATTGTTATGGTCTCTGTTTTTTTGTTATGTCACCACCAAAAGTGGTGACATATTGTAATGGTCTCCGTTTTTTGTTGCGACGGCGGTTGGTGGTTGGAGGTTGGCGTCCGGCGTCTGTAACAATATTTTACAACTTCCTATAACTTAACAAATACTGTTTAGACTGACTTCAATTATTTTCTAAATCATCTACATGTTCTCAGAAGTTCAAATCTGACTTTAGATTTGACATTTGACCTTCAATGACCTTCTCAAGGTCAAAAAGGTCTTTTTTCAACTTGCTTCACATTGACTAAATTTTTTTTCAAAATCATCTACATGTTCTCAGAAATTCAAATCTGACTTCAGATTTGACTTTAGATTTGACATTTGACCTTCAAATCTGACTTTAGATTTGACATTTGAACTTCAATGACCTTCTCAAGGTCAAAAAAGGTCAAAAAGGTCTGTTTTCAACTTGCTTCAAATTGACTAAATTTTTTTTTCAAAATCATCTACGTGTTCTCAGAAATTCAAATCTGACTTTAGATTTGACTTAAGATTTGACATTTGACCTTCAATGACCTTCTCAAAGTCAAAAAAGGTCAAAAAGGTCTTTTTTCAACTTGCTTCAAATTGACTAAATTTTTTTTTCAAAATCATCTACATGTTCTCAGAAATTCAAATCTGACTTTAGATTTGACATTTGACCTTCAATGACCTTCTCAATGTCAAAAAAGGTCAAAAAGGTATTTTTTCATCTTGCTTCAAATTGACTAAATTTTTTTTTCAAAATCATCTACATGTTCTCAGAAATTCAAATATGACTTCAGATTTGACTTAAGATTTGACATTTGACCTTCGATGACCTTCTCAAGGTCAAAAAAGGTCTTTTTTCAACTTGCTTCAAATTGACTAATTTTTTTTTTCAAAATCATCTACATGTTCTCAGAAATTCAAATCTGACTTTAGATTTGACATTTGACCTTTAATGACCTTCTCAAGGTCAAAAAAGGTCAAAAAAGTCTGTTTTCAACTTGCTTCAAATTGACCAAATTTTTTTTTCAAAATCATCTACATCTTTTCAGAAGTTCAAATTTGACTTTACAAGTTCTCAGAAGTTCAAATCTGACTTTAGATTTGACCTTTGACCTTCAATGACCTTCTCAAGGTCAAAAAGGTCTTTTTTCAACTTGCTTCAAATTGACTAATTTTTTTTCAAAATCATCTACATGTTTTCAGAAGTTCAAATCTGACTTTAGATTTGACATTTGACCTTCAATGACCTTTTCAAGGTCAAAAAGGTCTTTTTTCAACTTGCTTCAAATTTACTTAATTTTTTTTCAAAATCATCTACATGTTCTCAGAAGTTCAAATCTGACTTTACATTTGACATTTGACCTTCAATGACCTTCTCTTTGTCAAAAAAAGTCAAAGAGGTATTTTTTCAAATTGACGAATTTTTATTTCAAAATCATCTACATGTTCTAAGAAGTTCAAATCAAACCTTCTTAAGGTCAAAGGGTATTTTCCAACTTGCTTTAAATTGACCAAATTGTTTTAGGTGGTGACATTTTGTCATGTTAATGCCTTGTTATAAAAATGTAATCTTTGATAACTTAATGCTAGTTGACAGATTTGGTTCAAATTTTTCAAGATGGCCACTATTTATCAAAATGGCCACCATTTGTCGCTAAAAATGTAATATTTTTAATTGATACCCCAAATACCAGTTAGAATAATTGATAAAGCCACCTGTGACTCCCAGTTCAGAAGCTTACCTGTTTCCAATATGGCCTGTTTTGCCTCAAAAATATTCTGTCGGAACCCTCAAATTATAAAGTAACCTTATTTCATAGGTTAGCTATAAAGTTTACAAGTTTCAGCAAAATACTCATAGACTAATATTGTCAACCTAGACATCTCTGTCTGTCCATCTGTCTGTCTGTTCTTCCAAATAATCTCACCCTAATTGCTAGACAACTCGAATGAATCGGGGGAGTTTTTTCATGCATTTCACTTATGTTTTTCATCCAAAAAAAACATTGGTTCACTTTTAAAAAATTTATTGACTATAAGAATGCACCAATTGTTTTGGTTTATTTTGCAACCCAAAAAGGTGTGTTAATGATTTACCTTCCTGTTATCTCAAAATCTTCTTGGAACTGTGCCATTGGATTTCTATAGGAAAATTCTTCAAAGAGAAAATTCTAGGGATTAAGGAACAGTTTACACAATTAAGTACAGTTTACACAATTTGAGAAATTATTGGCATACATGAAACCCATATAAAACAGCTTTTATCTTATTCAAAAGCAGTGATGATCAATGATTCCCAGTCTTCTGAAGTTTGAAAAATGAAAATACCTGGGTGTAAATCTGTAGATAATCCTTGAAAATGAGAAATATTTTTTGGGATTATATGGTGCAATCTTATAGTCAATAAAATGTTTTAAAGTGTATTGCTGTTTTTTGGATGAAAAACATTGAGGAAATGCATGAAAAAACTCCCCGATTCATTCTCATGTTAAAGCCTTGTTGTAATTGTAAAATGTTTTCTTTATATCCATAGCTATAATGTATGATATTTGTGTTTCAGGGCTTTTTCCGACGCACCATAAAGGAGCGTACTGCTGATCAATACCTCTGCTCACGAGTGGGAAATTGTGAGATTACCCTCGAATCACGGAATTCATGCAAATATTGCCGCTACAAAAAATGTCTTGATGCAGGGATGACTCCAGATGGTAAATTTTTCAAGCTTGATTCAGTTTTTCCATTTTCCTTGGGTTTGAATTATGGTATTTGCAATTTCACCAACAACTAATTGCATTGGGATTAATCAAGTTATTTTCCTGTTTGAAATGCATATTTTTGCAATTTGTTATGTGTCAGTGCAATATGGAATAGAAAATATGTAAGCGTTATTGGTTTCTTTATTTCTTTGAGCTGAATTTGAATCCCCATTTAATAACTAAGATGCGAGTAGGTAGTCACCAGTTTCGCCACCAGGTGGCTGATTCGGGGGAAATAACATGGCAGGGTATTACAAAATTCCCTTAAACTTGAATATTCATCAGTTTTAGTGGTTTACTTTTCAAATGACACTTATGTATCTGATAGTTATACAAATTAAAATATGTCCAGTAAAAGAATGTATTATTTGTCCAACACATGGAAAGATATTTCACTTTTTGTGATTTTACAACATGGGATCTATGGGAAATATCCCCGACCTAGAAGTCACATTTTCAAAGAAAATAAAATTTTCAAAGTTGATAAACTCTTGAAAACTACATTTCTAGATGTAAATTTACGTGTAGATTCCAAATATGACATCAGTATGACATCAAATTTTAATGATGTAAATCATTATTATTTCTACTCACATTTAGTCTATTGAGAAATATCTTCAATTTTTAACAATCTGTTTAAACCCTCTTCATTGTCAGAAAGTAGTACATCACCAGCAAATATTAGAGATGGGATTTTTGCCCTTCGAATGGTACACCCATAGATTCTTTTTGGAGATTTTTAACTCGTTCTAACATTTGAAGTGAGTATAGGGTTTGACAAAGACAACTGCCTTGTTTCAGACCGTTAACGGAACAAAACTTTCCTCCCATTTAGTTGAAATTGATCCAAATATAACTTTATTTTGAATACCATCGTAGAGATTTGGTATTTCATTAAAAATGATTTGTAAATCTCTAATATACAGACCTTATAAAGAACAATATGAGTACCACAGTAATGATTCTTGTTTGAATTTTTCAGGAAGTCGCATTGGTCGTCAACCAAATGCTGTAAAACATGAAACGATGTTGGAATTGAAGCATATGCAGATGATGAAACAGGAAGTTACATCACCAGTCAGTGAAGCTCAAATTCCAAGCCCAACTACGACAATTCAAAATCGGAACCCAATAGCTAGTATAGCATATAGGAGTCCCCTACAGAGACCCCTTAGTTATGAAAAAGAAAACTTTGATGTTTCTCCTTACTCTACTGAGGAGTCTCACAATGTGGCAGTGAATGAGGAAACCACTATACTACCAGATTTAGAATTGGCTGATGGGGTTTTCTCCAAAGAAATATCTGAACTACAATCTGCAGTTTTTGAAGCTTATAAGGAAATTAAACATCTAAATGTTCGGGTATGTCACCAAATTCTCTCTTATCTTTTTGACATATTCCTGTATTTTTATGAATACCAATATTCTTCTTATAGAATTATAAAATGAGTTGTTTTCACAAACTAAACAAGTATTAAAAATTTAACATTTTAGGGACAAGGTATTTTTTGAAAAAGAGCAATAGGTGAACAGAATGAAATATATTCTTTAATTCCAAATGCATTTACCCCACCTACTTTACCTTCAGAGGTAAGGAGCATTAGACAAGGTGTTGGCACAATACAACCAAAACTGTTTAAAACATAAGTAATATTTTGAATTGTTTCAATTTGTTTGAAGCCTGACAAGGCCAAGCTGGTCACTGACCCAACTGACAACCAAGCTGTTTGGGATATGAGTATGGAGGTTTTCATACACAGTGCATATTCTCTCCTTGCCTATGCCAAGAAAATACCAGGTTATAAAATATTTAACTATAGCTGCTGTTTACACGCTGTTTGCTGCAAATTGCAAAAATCGTCAATTCTCGAATTGATAAAGCTACAGAGCTCTGACGTCCTGTACCGAAGGAGGAAAGAGATGTGTAACTCTATGTTTGAAGGGATTTTACATTCATTTTTAATTAATAATTTCTCAGACAACCTAAACTTTGAGTTATGCTTATCAGCTGGTAATTTGTGAACCAGAACATTTTAAATGCTGAGAAATTTATGTAGACGACTTTTGCAATATAACATTGCAGCTGTTGCTTTTGCTTGGTTGGCTTGGCTTTTGGGCTGTACATGTTTTGCTTAAAGTGCAAGTTTATTTATGAGGTTACTGTGTACTTTGTTCTACTGATCTCCTTTTTATATTATTAATTATAGTTATAAAGTTAATCTTGTTCTTCATTTGACTATAGTCCAAATTCCATTTTTGAAGGCTGGTTTCACTGACACCTTATATTTACATATTAGTGGAGTCAGAATGTGGGTTTCGGCGAGCGTTCAGAGGGATTTTTCAGCTTTTAGATTTTGTGGCCATTTTACCATTGTTATATATACTGTATGAGCAGTTACAGAAAGTCTAGAGTCAAATATATAAATTTGATTGCTTATTTTTTAAATTCAAAGTAAAAAAAAAATAGAAGAATTTTTTTTAAAGTTTTTGAGTTTAAATTTTGGATAGCTTTTTCATATTCATGGCTCCTTATTCTGGCTTTTTTCTAAATGTCAAAAAAGTTTGTACCTTATTCCTGGGAATTTAACAATTGTGCTACCTATATTTTTAATTTCAAAAAGAATTAATACACTTCTTTTTTAATAGCTTCGCTATATGTCAATAATGCAGTCATGTTTTTGAAAAATTATATTTTGGATGATAAAAACACATAGGCTCCAATGATTGATCATTGCAGTTTGTTCACGTAGAAAGAGAAATCAATTTCCATAAAATATCCATACATTCCAAATGAAGCTTCCAATCTACAAGCAGTACATGCAGTATAAGAAGGACAACATTATTCAAGGAATTTATTGATTTCACTTTCTCGTAAACCAAGATTTATTTCATGTATCTAAATGTTGTTATCCTTTTAACTTTAAGAGCAATACGTATCCTTAATTATTCCTCATGGCATTATCAACAGTGTTCTATGGGCAATTTACAGTTCAATTTGACCTATCTCACTCTCTCAGACAGATGACAAAGACTGTTATTATCCCAACGAACAAAGTTTGATCGTGATATAGTTAAGCCCTCCATCCGTCAGTTCGTTTGTCCCTCTGTCAGTTAGTCAGTCCAGTTATCTGTCCAACTCAATAACTCAAATACTTGTTGAACAATTTTCTTCATATTTTGGGAAAAGATGAATATTGGCGGTTAGTTTTACGCAAAAATAATTCAAGATGGCCATTACTTCGAAAATAGCGGGAATTTTTTCGTGAAAATATTCAAGTTTTAAACCACAGTAAGAAATATTGTTGTTTGAAATTATGAAGTGTATTCACACCATCTATCTACATTTATTCCACCCTAAGTGCTTCATATGATTGTATAATAGCATTGTATAATAGCATTGTATAACTGCGATATAAAACCAACACTCATTGTATATAACTCTTAAGAATGATATACGTTATAATCTCGTGAGTATATGATATATTCACTCGTTCCCTTCAGTCACTCGTGAATATATCATCTACTCACTTGAGTATGAACACGATATACGGAATCAACCATATATAACTTCATAGTATTCAGGCCCGTAGCCAGGAATTACCAAGGGGGGTTCAGTTTGCAAAAATTTCCAAGGGGTTCACATTTGACAATTTTGGCCCAAATATGGCTAAAATCACTTGAGAAGTGCTCAAAATGGTGAAAAACTGCAAAATTTTCAAAGAATTTTTAGCCAAGGGGGGTTCGCCCAAACCCTGTGAATCCCCCCCCCCCTGACCCCCATGGGTCGTATAAAGGGGGTTGGGAAAACAGGAATTTTTGCCAATTTTGAGATCTTTCTGAATTGGGATGTGCTACTCTGTGGAGTTGCAGATTTCTATTTTTCTTACATTGCAGCAGTCATTGACGTCATTTCAAGGCTTATAAAATCAGTATTATCACTGAAGGAATTGAAATGTTATTTTTGTAATTTTTGCAGATACCGATGATAATGGAATCTATTTTTTCACATTGCAGCAATTCTTGATGTCATTCCAAGGCTTATAAGATCAATATTGCTAGTGAAGAACTTGAAATGTTATTTTTGTAACTTTTGTAACTTTTATGATAAAATGTCTACAATTAATATTATTTCCCTCCCGAACAATGTTAGATTGGGAATATAGAGAAGACATCCATTAATCCATCTGTCCATTCATTCACCTGCTTATTCATCTATTTGTCCATTCGTTAATATGTCTGGGAATAATTCAAATGCTGATGGTCAGATTTTGATCAAATTTTTGACACAATTGCAAGCAACATGTACAATTCACCTACCAATATATTCCTTACAATCTCAAATATAATATCTCTCAAAATATCCATGATATGTTATCAACTATTGAAGTTGTATTTTTTACTGACTAATATTTCATGCCATGACATCCAAAGAGTAAATACAAGATATATATAATAAGAATACAAAGTCTTTATTTTCTCCCAAATAAAAAATGGTAACCATAAAAATAGAAAAATAATACATTATTGTAAAAATCGTTAGTTTTCCTGAAATAAAGTGTGCAATTTGGGGATTTTTAGAAAATAGACATGACAAGGAATGACATGAGCCAAAAACGTTCTAAAATTGAAACTATTTTTGTTTAGCTTGCTAGATCTAATTCTCCCTTTGATATTAGTACTAATAGTTTGCATGCTAAAACAATGGGGGATCAGAATATTAGTGCACTGCACAATGTTTTTATAAATGTAGGTTACAGTGATCTTTATACTGCAATTCTAATATCATTCTCATTTGAAGCAAATGTAAATGATATTTTGAATATTATGGCCATTTTTAATTGTTTTTTATGGTTTTTGAAATAAGTTGTCATTGGAATGATTTTGATGATATTCCCTATAGCCAGCCGTAGTACACCCTGTACAATTGTACAACCCAAAATAAACCACATGGGTATCATTTTTGAGTGATTCTTCCTTGACAAAATGTTATGTACTTATCTGATGAGCAAAGGGTTGTACAAATATGTTGAGGGTTGTACAAATGTTCAAAGGGTTGTACATATGTGCAAAGGGTTGACATATGTACAAAAGGTTGACATATGTACAAAAGGTTGACATATGTACAAAAGGTTGACATATGTACAAAAGGTTGACAAATGTGCAAAGGGTTGTACAAATGTGTAAAGGGTTGTACAAATGTTCAAAGGCTTGTACAAATGTTCAAAAGGATTGTACAAATGTGCAAAAGCTTGTACAAATGTGCAGAGGGTTGTACAAATGTGTAAAGGGTTGTACAAATTTTCAAAGGCTTGTACAAATGTGCAAAGGGTTGTACAAATGTGCAGAGGGTTGTACATTTGTGCAAAGGGTTGACATATGTACTAAGGGTTCTACAAATGTACATGCTTTTATTGATGCTTTAAATGTTACTGCTCTGCAATGCTTTCTGAATTGTTGAATGTCAGACTGTATAATGATCAGTCCTTGGCAGATGGCAGTGTACAATACTGTTGAACCTATAAGGTTGTGTCTGCTTTATATATGCTTTAAATGTATGGTTTTTCAAAACAATTTCATGCCTGTCCAGGCAATAATTCAAATATCGTTGGCCCAATATTGTTTATAATGTCACAACCACAAGTGGTGACATATTATAGCTATTTATGGATGGTATTTTGGGGTTGGTGTTTGAAAATGTCAGAGTGTCATTATTGTCTGACATTAAACCAAAAGTTTTGAACTACAGTAATATCTTTATCACTTCTTATGTGTTTTGAATTTTTTTATTGTGCCAAAACTCACGATTCAATTTGAAGTGAGAATTATAACATCCTTCAAGATCGGATTCATTGTTAGAAAATATTTTTGAACATGTGGAAGAATGACACATTATCTTTTGGTAATACATATATGTTAACCATTTGAGACACTCTTTAAATGTTCGATGAGATTTGCTATGCCTTTGCATTGCTGTTTAATTACTTTGTTGTACAGATCAAAGACATCTTATACCATATTTTCTTTTTTTAGGTTTCCGTGAATTTCCTGTTGAAGATCAAATCCTCTTACTGCAGAATGCCATCTATCCAGTATGTCAGACATTATATTCTCAAAAATATGACCTAGCGACATCAACTTATAATTACTTCTGCTTCGAGGACTATGAGAAAAAGGCTATATGGGATCTAATCCCACATTTCAAAGGGATTGAGAGTCATTTTCATATGGTTGGTCAAAGTCTGCAACCCTTGAAGATGGATGACATGGAGTATTCAATATTCTGTGGCCTACAGCTCGTAGCAATCTCAGGTATGATTCTCAAAATGCAGTGTTTAAGAAAGTGATTAAGTAACTGAACAAATGGAGTAATTTTATCATCAATTAATTCAGATTTTTGTCCATAAATAATGTCCTGCTCCAATGTTACCGGAAACGTTTTTTTCAGTGGAGTCAATTTGTTAGAATAACTTGTTAATTGTCTTATGTCGAAATTGTATTTAGGCATCCAAGGAAGAAAAACTATAACTATGAAAGAATTAGGCAAATGCTTGTCATAGGATAACATAGTTATGTGATGCTTGGTTTTGGATATGGGGTATATCCTATGGGAAATATGATATCTTACCTTGGGCCCTGATGGCCCTCGATAAGATATCTATATTTCCCTCAGGATATACCGATATCCAAAACTTCCCATAATATAACCCTCATATACATATCTATGCCCTGATATGCCTATTTTGATGTATACATATTATTACAGTCCACTCAATAAAAGGAAAATACAAAGGAAAAAACTCTGGTTTAGCACTGCACCCAAGTCCCAAGAGCAATGTATATTAGGGATATAAAAATCCTTAAAGATACAGAATTTTTTAAAAGGAGACTACTACTGCCTTGTTATTTCTGTCATGAAATGTTTTAAATGAGAAGTTATTTGATAAGACATGTTGTTGAAACCTAATTTTGCAGAGACCCATTTAAGAGGTCAAAGAAAAAATTTAAAACATTTTGTATTCTTTAGGTAATCTTGGGCTGACTGCAAAAGCAAAACTGGATGCCATGCATGGTAAACTCTGCATGGTCCTCAAAAAATACCTCGGTGGTAAGTCATGCCGTAAGGTAATAAATCAACATGTTCAACATACCCTGTTGTGTCTATTTTTACGAAAATTTGATCTGTGCCTGTTCTAGCATGTACAGGGTGGTCCAAAAAAATGGGACACTCGTATTTCAAAAATAAATATTGATTTTATTGATAAAAACATGGGAATTTACTTATCTTTAATTTGGTATATCATAAGTTCAAATTTATTGTAATGTCTTTCAACCAGCATGTATAATATAAATGACGTCATTTTCGTTTCAAAACAGGTTTTCCAAAATTATGCAAAAACCAAGTTTTTTGTCATTTTATTTACATAAACAGACGTTCAATTTGTCCATCATTTTGATCAGTTATAAGTTTGGCCTTAACTGGTAAAAGCATCATTGATATGCTGTTGAGACAATGAATTCCACTTCTCAACAATTCTATCCTTAATAAGGGACTGAGTAGATGTAAGGGGTTCATGGTAAACCAATTCTGTTAGTTCTCCCAGTACGTGGTAGTCATAGATGCCGCAAAAATGTCAAATTTTTGAAGTGAAATGTGCCTAGGTTCATCCCCCCTTAATCACTGCCTCCCCCAGATCACCCGATCACCCAACGTCTGCGACTACCACGAATGGGGAGAACTAACAGAATTGGTGTACCATTAATCCTTTACATCTATTCAGTCCCTTAAGGGCAGAATTATTGAGAAGTGAAATTCGTTGTTTCATCAGCATATCAATGATGATATTGACCCATTTAGGCCAAAATTGAGGGCTATAATTTATCAAAATTGTGGACATATTGAACGTCTGTTAATGTAAATAAAGTTGACAATAAAACTTGGTTTTTGCAAGTTTCGGAAAACCTGTTTTGAAATTCAAATTATGTCATTTGTATTATGGACGCTTCTTGATAGACATTGTAATAAATTTGAATGATGATATAATGATATTCAAAATTAAAGATAAGTAAATTTTCTATCCACTGGTATATAATATGACATATTTTCAGAAATAAAATCAATCTTTATTTTTGAAACACGAGTTTCCTATTTTTTTGGACCACCCTGTATATTTTCATTGTTTTCATTGTTCATTATTGCTCCAATGTAATATTGATAATCACCAAATACATCAGGAATGAGATCTAACACTACAAACTAAGAGCTAGATCTACACTCTATTAGTGAAACATTACTCTATTCTAAAAGCAGTTTTCCTTAACAAAAATATGTTTAGAACAGTATTCACTGCAAATTATATTTTTAAAATCAATAGCAAAGTTCAATACTTGCACACTAGAAATAAATATATTTATACTATATTTGAGTCTTAAATCGATGGCTTAAAATACCATGATTCAAGCAGTCATACCACCATGTTATACCACCAAATGAAATCTGGTAGATATATAGAGAAGCTATATGTCCATTTGTTTGTCTGTCTTTTTATCGGAGCCATTGAATTTGGTTTAAATTTTACAAGTTAATGTCTCATGGGTAAGGGATATCTGCTCAATGAGACATTTTCAATATGACTGCTTGTTTCAAAATGGCCGAGATTTTTTGTAAAAAAAAGTAATCTTTGATTACTACTCATATACCAGTTGACAGGTTCTGTTCAAATTTTATCTGCTGATGCTTTTAGAAGCGCGAGAAGGAACTTTCAAAATGGCTACTCAATTTCAGATTTTGTCCAAATTATATAGGCTAATGTCATATGAACAAAGAAAAATTAAAAACAAAAATTAATTTCTTTGTAACCATGCTGGCTGTCCAATTACAGAAAACTATTCAAATCAGAAAACTATTCTAAATGCCTTCTATTCCCTTAACTAGAAATGTATAAATAACAGTAGATTTCCACTTCACTGCACTACATGTATTATCCAGTCATTGAGCTCTTAACAATGTTTTATGCACTAGCCACATACAGCAGTTTAAAAGCATGAGTTTACTTTTGGATAACATCTTATGGATTTGTAGAATCTAATTTTATCATTTCAGAAAAAGGTGCACCTTCTCATAGATACGATGAAGTGGTTTCAAGACTGACAGTCTTAAAGCAAGTTGGGAATAGTCATAATGAGATCATCAAGAAGCTACATTCTGACATGCCTCACCTCCCATTGCCACAACTGTTTACAGAAATGTTCTTAAATGATTGATGCTAATAGCAGCACTATACAGAAATGTTCTTGAATGATTGACGCTAATAGCAGCAATATACAGAAATGTTCTTGAATTGAAATCAGCAGTTCACAGACATGGTTATGAATGATGACAAAAAGAACAGCTATGTTACCCACCTTAATGATTTTGAATTAACATAATATCTGCAGTTATGGAGATGTTATGTGAGCCATGTACAGGGTGTCAATAAAATGAGCTTTAATTTGATATACACTGTATAGTTTGTGAGGGTGCCCATCCCCTGTATTGGCTGTGGAGGGGTCACAGCACAAATTGACACCCTGTACATGTATTATACATACAAATATGCCTCTGATTAGTGATTTTAATATTTTTATCAGGGAAAAATTTTGAATGCATGCACATGATACATGTAACTGCCCTACCTCAAAACAAGCCTGAAAAGTATTAATAGGGAATAATATTTACATTGAAGAGAATTCATAATCAGAATATTCATAATAACATAATCATCATACAAGCACTATTCATGCTGATGGGAAGTGGTATGGGTGGAAGAGTAGTCAATAATGAATACTTATTTGTATATTTGTAATGTGTGGTATCTTAGAGTATTCATTTCATGAAAAGTATTTGTAACATATATGGTATCTTTATGAAGAGTATTCATTCATGAATAGTATTTTTCATGAAAAGTATTTGTAAAGTATGGTATCTTTATGAAAAGTATTCATGAATGGTATTTATATGAAAAGTATTTGTAAAGTATGGTATCTTTATGAAAAGTATTCATGAAAGGTATTTGTATGAATAGTATTCATAGTGAAGGTTAGTTTCACGAAGAATATTCAAAATGAAAGTTATTTACATGAAGAATACCCCCCCCCCTTGTTAGCTTATGGATCTGCCAGTGGTAGGGATGTAGAGAAGATATCCATCATTTGGTCCATCCATCCATCTGTTTTGCCAATCAGTCATCCACCATTTCTGTGTAAGGGCGATACAAGTACTGCTTGTCTGATTTAATGTCTAGCTGTTTTTTGGTCTTATTTGGTCACAAGTATTCTATCAATTTGCCTAAAGTTGAACAAGTAATCTAGGTTGACTCTTAAAAGCTGCTTTTTGGCCAAAATATCTACCATATTAAATATTGCTGCCACTCTATTTGTTGAAATATCACATTTTAGCCATAAGTTATAAGTTTTATAAAGAGCATTTGAAAAAGATATATACATCACCATGTGAGACATGTACCTATGGTTCTTTTTTTAAATTATTCAAAATCCCTTTGGAGTGTAATATTGACATACTGTCATTGGCAAACCTTGATGTAAACAGCTGCAGTGGTATGATTGGCATGGACTCCTCAGGTTTATTGCTTACATAGAAAATCCTAATAAAGCTGCTTTTAATGTTGAAATAACAAAAAATGAAAAAAGGATAACAAACCTGAAAACATTTATTGATTAACCGTTCTATTCTCAAAGTTGTTCACCATATTCACACTTGTCATAATATTCTTAACGAAACCTGTCTACTTTGTGAATGCAACATCTATCATGTTATAGTCACATGATAAGTAATCGAATGTGAATACCTTCATATGAGAATATTTTGGAGCTAAAGGTTTTTCACATGAGACTGTTAACTATTTTATTTTATATTATTATAGCCTCCAGCTTGTTTGTGATTGGTATCAGTGGTCCATGTCTGTTACACTTTTGCCACTTGAACTGGCCAAAACTTATCGGATTAGTTGTTTTGGATAATTCAAGATTTTTTAATCTTTGAGTCATAGATGATGATATTGAAACAGAAAGTGTTCAAATTGAGAGGTGTTCAGATAAGCCAGGTTAGTCATACAGGTTTGTATAGGTATATAGGCTGTATAGATTTCCAGATGACTGAAGATTAGAGTAATTTAAAGATAAATAAACCAATCAGGTTTGCTCAACCAGAGATGAGAAGTTATCTTTTCAGAGAAAAATATTGAAAAAGGAGGAGAAAGTGCTCATAATTATTGTGCCATAATCATAATATAATATTGTATTATTAGCTCACATGGTGAGCTATTGCAATCTTTCACTTGTCAGTCTGTCTGTATGTTTATCAACAATAGTGGCACGTTTTAAAACCTTTGTGATGTGATTCTAGTTTTAGGTTACTTTTGCTTTTTTTTTGTTAATTAGCAATAGTCTTCAAGAAAGCCCCCTATGACTCATGGTTCAAAAGCTCACCTTTTTAAAAATGGCCACCATTTTTGTTGAGAGAAATACACCTTTTGATAAGGGAAAAAATGATACATGCCTCAATCTTGCTATTCTGGCTAGATGATACTGAAAATGTAAGACCACTGCGTGCAAAATTGTAAAACGGGATGCGTTCTGTCTTATTTTCACAGATGGACCAATCAGATCGTGAGACGCATGCACAGTAGGCATAAGAAATGGAATTCAAATTTTACTTTCATAACTTGGTGTATATAATCAGCTTATAAGTTAATGAATTTTCCATCATCCCTTGTAAAAACCTATGTCAATGTTAACAGTAGTTTTATGAGATAATTTTGTAAGAAAAAATGGGTTTTCTCTGAAGTGTGAAGTGTTCTCTACAGTTTTCAAGCCAAACCATTTTGTGGATTGATCTTATCGGATTGCTATGTATTTTAAAGACTATTGGCATGCAGCTACTTATGTATCTTATTTCTTAAGTTAAATGTCACAAGGATTCAAAATGGCCGCCACTTTGAACTGATTATGTCACCACCACAAGTGTTTACTGTTATATGGTTATAGTTTTTAACTTTTTTGTGGAGTTCAGCATCTTTAACAAATGGTATCTGTTATAAATTTCAGGTGGTGACATTTTGCATGTTAATGCCTTTTGTGATCAGTATGCCGGGTGGATAGGAAATGGGAGGGTGTCCCGATAAATCTTGCCTACATTTTTCCAGCCAAACTGTTACAGAGATTCATCTGAAATTTTCATGGATGTTTCTATGGATGAAAGTTTAGAACTGATCTTAGTTTTCGGGCATTTTTGGTATTTTTTTGGTATTTTTTAAGGTGGCCATGTTTATAAATTCAAAAAGATTACATTGATTTGTTTGGAATTGCACAAGCAGCTAAGTATATAGTTGAACAATAACACCTAGAATTTTTAGCAAATTTGAAAATGGCAACCACTTTTATTGCCAAAAAAATCATATTTTCAAGTGGTCTTTTGAAAGCACCTTGAGCCCAGTACCCATGGTACTATTTATTTTCATAAAATAATATCATAGACATTGTACGAGGGGTGATCAATAAGAAATGGATGCTTTTTAACACAGATACTTTTTATCGACGAATCCCTTTGATTTTTTTACCAGTGATAGTTCATTCAATTATCTATCAATTCTGAAGATTTGAAGACAAAATATTTAATGAATGTTATGTTGATATATCGTTATTTCCTTGAAGGAGATACAGGTACCCCGGGACTGACATTTACGTCACATATTTAGTTTTTAACGAGTCTGGCATATTTCAGTTAGATTTGAACTTTTTGATATGCAACAAGTGTTGTGTTGTTTGAAATATTTTGCTGACTGGTAACACATAAACGGCAAGTATTGTGATGTCAAAGTGTTGTATGGTTGGCGTTTGCAGGTCAATATGAGAAAACATTGTGGAAGAAGGGGTTGGTTTGAGAAAGGAGCACCCTACTCCATATGGACAATGTACCTGCCCAAAGATCTCAAAATGTTCAGAATACAATATCCCTGGACCTCAACTGAGCCCTTGGCCAATGCACCATTTGTCCAGATCTGCCCACATGTGACTTATTTATTTATATACTAGTATTACTAATTTCTATAGAGAAAGGAAGCAGGTTTAATGACATTGATGAAACAAAACAAGCTGTCTCACTGCATCTTGCTTCCAAGTCAGAGAATGGATTCGACCTTGTCTCACAATCTTGGGTTAAGAGGATGAGGTAGTGTGTACATGTAGCACTTGATGGAACCTATATGGCATATCAAAACAGTGAAATTCATGACCATCATGGTTAGTTTTGTTCAGCCTGCATTCAACTGCATTGCATGTTAAACAGAAGCTTCAGAATGTGTGACGTTATTTCGGTCCCGGGGTACCTATACCTCCTTCACGGAAATAAAGATATATCAAAATGTATTACATGTTTTGCTTTCAAATCTTGATAGAGTTGATAGATTATTGAATGATGTATCACTGGTGAGAAAATCAAAGGGATTGGTCTATAAAAAACATCTGTGTAAAAAAGCATCCATTATTGCATTTGATCATCCCTCATATACCTTGCTATAATCATGTACATATTGTTTTCCATATAAGATATGGTACAGCTACTACAAGTACAAGTATATACTATTAGTGAGCCAATGAAAGTACATGTATGTACATATTACTGGTATTTTAGTATTTTTCGAAAAGGTTTAGTTAGTTAGTTGAAGACAGTATTAGGTTTAGTTAAACTCTGCTTTTGATTTTCTTTTAATTAAGGGATTATGACATCAATGGCCATTTGGTGTTAAACAGAACATTGCTTTTGGGTGCAAAATCTGTCATTTTATTCATTTTGTGTTGCTTATGGTAACTGCTGTGTATATGATGTGTTATTGAATGATGTATACTGTAAATTGCTTTAATTTGGTATTTACTTTAAATTGGAAATTCACCACTTCACCAAATGGAGTTGAGAATGCTGATGTATTTTCACCCAGGCCCATAACCAGGGGGTTTGATGGGTTCAGTGAACCCCCTGGCCAAAAATTCTCTCATAATCATGCAGTTTTTTACCATTCTGTGCACTTTTAAGTGTTATGGGCCATTGTCATAAGTGAACCTCCTGGAATTTCGATAAAAGTGATCCCCTTGACAAAAGCTGGCTATGGGCCTGTCACCTAAGAATAATCATGGCCTTGAGTTGTGGTTCATCCATCCAAAATCAAAGCTAAGACCAGAAATTTTAACCAAATTAAAGTGTTTTGTAGATGAATACTACTACATTACATATACTAGGTTAACATATTGTGTATATCAGGGTCTATATATTGTATATATGAATTGTATATAATAGATATATTGTATATCAAAGTATCTAACAAAACTAAATGATGATCATGTACTGCTCAAAGCGTATAAGTGTTATATTTATTACTTACATCTATTACTGCCCATTTTAAGATTATATTGCTTTTCCATAAATAATATGTAGATAAGAAATGAAATATGGGAGAGAAATGACGTGAAATTTTAGTGTTAATGTACTACTAGTTTCTGTTAAGATAACATGCTTGTTGGCTAATACACATGTTAATATACACTAAACAACCCACT